TGTGAAGGAGCTGGATGCATTGGACTGAGGGAACTGCAGGGTCCGTCTGCACTGCTCTTACTCAGAGAGACAGTCGGGACATAGGGATATTTAATCGGGTTTAGACAAAGATGGAAGTTTACGCCAGAGTTTTAATGTTACTTAAAACAATGCTGCGACAAAAACAATAAATGATACAATAATAAGAGAATGCAAACTTAAATTCAGTGCAAGGTTAGCTGCGCAGTAAGCCATTTCTCTCTGGTCTCTCTAGTCGGTCTCTCTCTGGTCTCTCGTCCCTCTCGACTCTCTCTCTCTGGACTCTCTCTGTTCTCTCGTCTCTCTCTGGTCTCTCTCTCTGGTCTCTCTCTCTGGTCTCTCTCTAGTCTCTCAACAAGGAACCATTCTTGAAATAAGGCGTTGTCCCATTGGCTCTGATGAGGTTTTCTTGTTAAACAATTTGTACATTATTAAAGATTTAAAAATAAAGATAAAGATAAAAAAACACTTGATTCAAGGATGTATTACCGCAGTTTGGGAGAGTATTTTGGTGCAAAATAGTTTAAAGTCTATTCTCTGAGCCTATAGTAAGCCAGTGCAGGGACCCGAGACCAGGACTGATGTGGTTCTGTTTGTGTTGCTTTGGGCGGTGACCTTGAAGCAATCATCAATAACTGCTGTGTTTGAACGTTCAGAGCGATTGTGGCGAAGAGAGAAGGATTATCGTCCACCGCTCCCTCTGAACTCTCCCACGTCAGGAATGTGATTACCTCGACGTGTTTTTCAACGTTGCACCGCCGCCTGCACCGCTGCTATTGACTGTATAACTATTGAAATGTATCGAGTACTTTCACTTTACTTCAAATACAGGAATCGTCTTTGAACCCGCGAGCACAAACACAGAGGCTTTGAAGCAGACGAGGTTTAGAGTCAGTGCTTGTTTTGTTGTCAGTAATGAATGGTTTTTGTCTTATTGCTTTGAAATGGTTTTCCAGAGAAGACTTGGTCCAGATATTATGCACAGGAAAATTACAGAGGACCAGATGCAAAGAGTGCCTTGATGCAAATGTCAAGATTGAGATCAGTGAGAAATAGTTTACAAGTGTTTAGAAACCGAGGTCGATATGCATTCTCAAGCACAAACATTTCTAATCTGCACCAAGCAAAGTTCCCGGATCTTTTCACGGTCAAAACTAAAGACAGGTTAGTTTTACCCTACTGATGATGTGTTGTTGCAATAGTAATCCTGCTCTCCCACCTCTACACCTTCTCCACCAACTCCCACTGATGACTGCTGTCGTTGTGTCCTTGGGCAAGACACTTAACCTCACTTTGCCCAAAAGCCCCCACTGAAAGATCAAGGCTATGCTCACACTCAGAGAGCAGCCGTCCTCCTGTGGACTCACCACCTGCAGAGGGTCAGTGAGGGGCTGGTGCTATGAGACTTGGGTGGCATCTCTGATTGTCACCCCCCTGACCCAGAAATGGATAAAAGGGTAGAAAATGGATGGATGGATGGAAAACTAAAGATAAGAGTTAGTGTGAGCGTGAGCATGTGTGTGTGTGTGTCTCAAATCCTTCACGTTTCTGTCAATCAATCCGTCAACTTTTATTTCTGTAGCACAGTTCATACAGAATGCAACCAAAAGTGTAAACATTAAAACACAAATACAAGGCAATTAAACAAAACAAAAAAATTAAACGATGACCCGTTGCCTGGAATCGGATCATCTGTCGTAAGCACGGCTAAAAAGAACCGTTTTCAGTCTGGACTTGACTATATAGCCAGTTGTCTGATACCTTCAGGAAGATTGTTCCAGGTTTTAGGAGATGCTGCCTCCCCATGTGACTCAGTGTCCCAGTAGGAGGCCAGTCCCTGTGCTCCTCAGAGTCCCAGCATGAGGCTAGTCCCTGTGCTCCTCAGAGTCCCAGCAGGAGGCCAGTCCCTGTGCTCCTCCTAGTCCCAGCAGGAGGCCAGTCCCTGTGCTCCTCCTAGTCCCAGCAGGAGGCCAGTCCCTGTACTCCTCAGAGTCCCTGTGCTCCTCAGAGTTTGAGTTGGCTATTGGTGTTGGTATGATCACTGCAAAAAATGATTAAATATGAGGTAATAATCACTTGAATTGAGTGATTCTTTTCTTAATTTGAGTAAATTTAGTCTTATTTCCAGATTTGTTGCCTTAATTTCTCATTCCAAGGGAGACATTTCTGTCTTTAAAAAAAAAAAAAATAATAATAATTTTGCTTTGTCCCGTTGGAGAATCTTTAAGGCAGTACAAATTTGCTCAAATTAATAAACTTTTTTGCGAAATTTGAGCCATTTTTAGACATATTTTGCAGTACTTTGGTTTGAGGCCATGGAGAGACCACGAGGAGAGCAGCTTTAAAGTCTATTCTCTGAGACTTATCAATACTTCACAATACAGCAGAGACAGATATCGCATACAATGTTGACAACACAAAGTAGAACGACTAGGAACCCACGATCTGTCCAAAGCCGTCTGGTCTCACCACCTTAGTACAAAGGAATAAATAAAAATGTATGTTTAGGATTTAGTTAAGAAAATTAAAGTCATATCACACACCGAGTAGATTACGGGTTTCTCAAGTTACATGGAA